AGCTGGGAAATATCTCTGGAATCTACACGGCAAAATCAGGATACCATGTTGCAAGAGAAGGAACTCCAGATCTAAACCAACAAGACACAAGCAATTCCAACTAGACATCAGGTATCTGGAATCTAAAAATCTCACACAAGATTAAGCTTTTTTTGTGGAAAGCTATAAAAGGGGCATTACCAGTGGGAACAAAATTGGAGTCAAGAAGGATAATAGCTCAAACGCTGTGTATCCGATGTAATGAACCAGAGACTGTTGATCACCTGCTACTACACTGCCTCTTTGCACAAGAAGTCTGGAAGCTAGCCCCTTTCGCCGAAGAAGTAGATGCTGAGAGGAACACCACCTTCCAATCGATCTTACTCCAGGTGAATCAGCAAACATGCCTCCCTCCAATCGGAATCAGCAACGGCCCTTTATCCCCATGGATTGCCTGGTCTCTTTGGTTATCTCGCAACCAACAGATCTTCTAAAATCGGACATTCACAGCCTCGGAGACCATGACTAAAGCGATTCATGACGCTTCTGAATGGCTAGCGGCACAACTCTCGACCCAAGGAACCCAACCAACAAGCGGCGACCCACCAACAGAGCTCCGAGAAATCCGATGCTTCTCCGATGCTTCATGGAAGACGGATCATCAAAGAGCCGGACTAGGTTGGATTATCAGGAACAAGGAGGGAATACTGGCTTAGGGAGCTACAATAGAACATCGGATCGGTTCGTCTTTGATGGCGGACGCAGCGGCAATGCGAGAAGCCCTTTCACAAGCAGCCGATAGGAACATCAGACACTTCACGATGGCTTCCGACTCCAAACAACTGATCCATATGGTCAATTCGAACACCTTTCATCTTGACATCTATGGAATCATGCGCGATATCAATCTAATCGCTAAGAATCTCGAAGTTTCTTTTGTTTTCATTCCTAGATCGCAAAACGAAGAAGCTGACCGCTTAGCGAAGTCAATCCTCTAAATTGTACCAAACAATCTCGGTTTATTACCGGTTTAATGAATTTATAACCCTTTCGAACAAAAAATAATAATTAGAATTTTCCAAATATCTGTTGTCAGATTATATAATTAGCCACATATAAAAAATACCTAATATAAAATGATTTGTTATTAATATTATATTTTTTTTTGAAGAAAAGAATAAAATAGTATTTCAATAGTGGTTGTCACAATCAGCATTTTTCACAATGTGGGAAATTTTATTTAAACGATTGCATTTTCCTTGAAATCTTCTTCTCCTTTTTTTATTTTTGGTAAAAAAAAATCTTCTTCTCCACTATGTGAAGTTTATGGGCTAACAAATGCAATTTATTTTGTACATTTTATATATTGAGCCTTTGTTTAGGTACGTTATTGGGTCTAAAGCCTGAGCCCATTTTTCCCCATATACCAAATTCAAACATAGGAAAACTAATATGCTTGCAAATCCTGATCAATCTCATAATTTACTAATTACATTTATGAAGAGCTACGATTCATAAGTAGGTAAATGATATAAAGTTCTGTTCCATAAGTGATAAGGAATTCATAGAAAATAGTTTAAGTAGATTTCAAAACTAGTATCAGAAATATTATGAATTATCAGATTGCAAACTTTGATTAAATAATGATCCACCACTTTTTAAAAAATGGAAACTTATGCTATTAGTTTTATTTGTAATAAAAGGTCCATCATCTCATACGATATTTTGGTCTATCAACTTATAAAACTATTCATCTATGTGACTTTTATCCGATCGTGTCTTTGGCACAATCCAAATTCAAATAACCAATCACTTTCATCTAACCCTTCCCTGACACGTGTTTGATTAACATTCCTTCAATCTTATAAAATTTGGAACGATATCTTCTCAATTTGGACCAAATCATAAGAAAGGCAAATTTCATATTTATTCTTTCTACTATTGCATGTAAACTTACAAGACTCACGAGGATTGCTCAAAAATAATACTCAAGAGATGACCAGTAGTTTTGCGATGCCTAGAACCTATTGTTACTTGGTTAAAAAACTACATATTTTAATTATATTTTGGTGTGTATTCGGTTGATATGATAATCAGTCATATAATAAAATATTGTATGGTAATAGGTTACGTTAATCGAGACTAGTGACCACTATACGTTTTATTTTTGCCACACAGTGACTCTAAATTTCATAGCTTAGATTTCAACAAACAACGACAAAAAAAAGATTTCAACAAACAAAAATCGATCATTTAGAAAGAAAACAAAATAAATCCCGACAACATATACAAATGAGTGTGGGTAATCAAACAAGTAATTAAGCCGCATGGGTAAAGTGAAAATAGGGTTATGGCATTTTGGTTAATGGGATTGGGACCATATACGTTGGATTTTCCTTAAAGAAATTAAATGTAATATTATTGATTCTTATATATTTTCCGACCAAACCTAGCATCGATCGAAATCTACACTCAAACCATTATTCTTTATCAATCTATTAAGTTTATTCTTGATTGTAAATTAATCGGGTAAACAAAAATGAATAGCAATTATTATCTACATGTTTATGCGCACCTTTCGAATATGTGATTTTGTAATTAGTCATTTGAAAAGAAGAAAAAAAAGTTTATCTTAGTGGAATTTTTATGATGACATCTAATAATTTATGATATCTATTCTTCAATCTGGTCGAAGTTAACTGACCTAACTATGACATCATGTAATTAGTAGATAAACAAATTAACAACCCATATGCCTCCTATAAACAATTGTTCTTTTATAAATTGTTTGCTATACTGTATCTCTGAAGAATAACGAGAACAATAAATTTATTGTGTTATTTTACATAGTTATACATTTATACATCATGAAATCGCATGGATCTATAGTAAACATTTATCTACATTTTTTTGTAAAATTTGATTACTTAGGCTGTGAATGTTTCAAGTGGAAAAGGCGGTTAGTGGTGCGGCAGTGATTAATGTTATCATTCAAGCAAATTAAAATTAAGTGGAGTCAACTAAATAAATGGGACGAACTTAGCAAAAAAAGTTTTGTATCTTTTTGTTTGTTCAATTTTAAACATGGAACGCACTTGCTTTGTTCACGGTCATTATGCAGTGGTTAAAGTGTGTTTCCAG